TAATACAATATTAAATTAAAAAAAAATAAAACTTTAGTGGTATTACTTTAAATATACATACAATACCTGGAAAAAAAACATTTGTTAAATTAAAAAAGAATCCAAGTGACATTCTTGTATAACACGATTACGAAAATTTATTTTGTAAATAATATACATCAAAAGAAGCTGTTGTATCAAATTAAACAAATAAAATCCAAGTTGTATTATCTTCAATGTATGATTTTCAAAAAAATTCAATTTTAAAAACCAAAGGTATAATACCATAAAAAAAGTGAAATCAAAATATTATTCCTAGTATACCTATTGTAATTATATTAAAAGAATACAATGGTAAAAGAAAATCGTACAACGCTTAACAAAAAAGTAAATTAAAGAAAAAGATTCATTCTTTTGAAAACTATACACCTCGTTTTTGTGCGATTTTTATTTCGGACCGTGGAACTTTGCAAAGTTAGAAAAACATTTTGCGATTTGTCATATCTCTATTTGTATCAGTACGACTCCAAAGAAAGTCAGTTAATCGTTTTCTAAAATATCAACTTGAAAAATGGAGATTTCAAGCTGTAAAATGCTTTTTTAACAATCTCGTTACAATAATGTTTAACAAAGTTGCTCTATATTGAATTTTTAGAAATTATCGATATATTAACGCATTGTCCGGGCAATTAGTTTGGTGACTGTATATACATTTATATGTATATGTATAATGTTCTTATATGAAAAATCTTTTCCCAGGTAAAAATATATGATATTTAAAATATATAAAAATAAAAGTGTAAGAAAACAAATAAATATATTATTATAATAATATATATTATAATAATTTTTTACAAATAAGCATGCAACAATTTTGTAATTAGTATATATCATGTAAAATATTAAAAATACTACAAAAAATTTTTTTATAGCGATACTTGCATTTTTTTCAATTTTCTTAGGCCGTATTATATAATTATAATCTAAAATTCTCATAATAAAAACCGGGACAATGACGGAGTTTTATTTTGAGAATTTAACTCCTGAATATATTACATTGGTGCCTGAAGAATTGGCTGTGAATTGGTTACACACTTATGAGATGACTCATTTACGAGATGATTATCAGTATTTGTTAACAAAGCAATAACAATATAAAATTACATATTATATATTGTAGCAAGATGTACTGATGTATTGTTAAAAAAAAACATAGTTATTTTATAATCATGCACGATTACTTTATACTTGAAATGAATATGAACGGACTCGGCGAAAGAAAGCTAATTAAGAACAAAATGACAGACATAAGGATAATAATGTGCTACGATAGAGATAGTAAAACATTTTTTATCAGTAAAGAAGTGCCTCATCAGCACAAATTATGCTGTAGAATATACATCATACTTGTATACAAAAATAGTAAAATACAACTGTTTAATAACATTATTGAAAAAAGTTTTGTAATATTTCGAATTTGCTATTAACACTCAGAAATTTCTGCATAATTTTATCGATGCGCAAGTAAGCGAGTCAATTGTTGAGCGATAACAAACGCGAGAGGTTTTATACATAGTCGTAAAACATTCGCATTATCCTCATTTTATATGTTATAAAATGTGCGATTATGAAATGGCCGAGCCCGAAGTAGGAGAAACAGATACAAGGTGAGACATGGAATTCAACATGGAATTTGCGCATTCGACACGTAGACTACTTGTTTTTCGCTACTTTTCGTTACGCTCGCAAATATCTTCAACGAAGAAGGAATACACACATGAATGGTGAAGGGACATAGAATCTCAATTGATAACGGAGTCAACAATTGAGTAAGATAATTCAATGATATTGCTGTTTAGCTACAATGGAGAAAGATAATTTCTTGTTGCCAGCTTGCGCAATATCAGAACTAGATTGTAAGACAATTAAAAATTATAAATGCGGACTGTATTTTGGAATAACTTTGTGATAAATGAAATATATACGCATAATTTGAACGCATTACTCAGCTTTTACTATATTAATTCAATTTCAGTGTACAAATATGAATATATAATATTATCATATTTAATATCGTGTAACATTAAAGTAAAGAAGCAAGTGCCCAAATTAAAGATATTTAAGGTGTAAATGATATTTTGATGTTTAAATAATGTTACATTATTTTTTCCTACTTTTGTGTGCGCAGATTGTTGCAAAAATAAAATGTATTGATTTAACTAATTGAGTTCAAGTATTATAACAATTAAAAATATCGCAAAAATAAAAAAAATGCCTTTCTCTATCTCTACAATTTATCACACAAAATAATTCATTATTTATTAAATTAAATAATTTAATTCTTTGTCCTAATTAAATAACAGAATTAAAATATATTGCCCTCCTTATGACAATTTGTCCCGAAAATAATATTTCAAGAACAGGCCTTTAAATTAAAATTTTTTAATTTCAGTCTGAAGATATAATCTCTATTTAAATACATTTTCTTTCTTTTTTAAATTACATTACATTTATTATTTTTGATTTGCTATTTTAGACAAAATGGCGGAAATAAAAACGTTAGGATGGATCGACTATCTGGTTATAGCGGTGATGTTGTGCATTAGTACTGGAATTGGTATTTATTACCGATTTAGTGGAGGACGTCAAAAAACTGTGGAAGTAATTATTACTGTTACGTCTGGTTACATCCTCTTATTAAAAAATCCCTTAAAATAAATATTTTTCTCTTTAATGCTTTACTGTAATAAAGGATAACATGTTTTATAGGAGTATTTCATTGCAAATCGATCAATGAGCATAGTACCAGTCGCTATCGCCATGGTAGCCACCTTCCTATCTGCCGTTACGATGCTCGGTGTGTCCGCTGAGATTTATACATACGGAACGCAATTTGTTGTGATAAGTCTATCGCATCTATTGGGCATTTTAATTATATGTTATGGATTCTTGCCAGTATTCTTCAAGCTGCAGGCAACAAGCGTCTACGAGGTGAATCTAATGAAATTTGATTTCGCCGCAAGGATTAAGTTTTTCTATGACGCGTACATTTGAAAAAATATTATTTTTTTCAGTACTTAGAAAAGCGTTTCGGAGTAAGAGCTAGGATGATGGTTAGTTTTGTTTGTTGGGTTCAAATGCTTTTGCATTCAGGAATAGTGCTTTATGCTCCTTCTCTGGCCTTGGAGGCGACCACTGGAATGTCCAAGACTGCCAGCATCATAATTATTGGTCTTGTATGTGCTGTCTATTCGAGTATAGGCGGTATTAAGGCTGTGCTAATAACTGATGTATTTCAAAGTTTACTTATGTTTGTCGCCGTGTTTATAATTATTGGTACAGCCGCAAATGATGTCGGGGGATTGGGGCAGATCTGGGAAATCGCGAGGCAAGGGCAACGGCTCGAATTTGATAGGTATTTCATATATTTTTTTATATTACGTGAATTATACATATGTATGTAGAAACTAATTGATTTTCCTTTTGTTATAGAATTGATTTGGATCCAACAGTAAGACATACATGGTGGTCT